ACTAGAACAATGTGTCAGATCAAAAATTCTAGAGGAGTACATTTGAAAATGATCACTCAATCTCTGAAAATGATAGCCACAATGTCTCTGCTGTGGACTATCATTTCCATTGTGGATTTCATGGAAAAAGACAGATTTGAAATCAAAGTAGTTAACATTTAAAGGAACTTTAAAACAAAAACAAAAATCTAAAATAATGAATATAAAATACTTCCTTGGTCCAGTTAGGTCACCCTTTCCCATAAAACTGCAACTGTAATGTCTAGCCAATTACAACAAAGTAATCTTAGTAGCACAACTGAAACTAATGAAAGGTCTAGGGGCTGAAAAGCTTCCTCCCACATCACCACCCATCCAAAACCACAACTGCATAAATCTGGAAATTCCTCATCACCCTGGACTATTTCCCAGGGAGTTTAGGTTTGTTTGAATGCATCAGCTCATGCAGCCATATTGGCACCCAAAAATATCCCTTGATAATATTACTATTTTGGATCACGTACAGAGATGTCATCTGGTAGACAGCTACACGACTAACTGATAAGCCTAGGCCCACCGGTTAATCTTTACGACCACACGCATTCCCCCACACCTTGCTGTATCAGAGGCAGCAACGTGGAGGAACAGGAGTAGGTGCCTGTGGGGATATGGCTTAAAAGCCAGCTCCCCACAAGCACCGGATCCACCTATCCCTCCCCTCTACCTCGCACTACTGCCTCTGCTAGAGAGGGGGAGGGGAAGGCAGGAGCCAATACGTGCAGGGAGCCAGCTTTCAAGTTAGCTCCCCATGCCTAGTAGCTCCCACAGACACGCTTGCCCTTTCTTTGCTACCTCCTACAGAGGCGGGGGGGCGAGGAGAAGAGCAGGCAGGAGCTGGTGCTAGGGGGAAGTCAGCTTAAAGGCCACTTTCCACAAGCACCAGCTCTCCGGTGTCCACAGTCCACAGAGAGCTGGGACTTCCCAGGAACAGGAACTGCTGCTACCTCCATGCTGCTTCCTCTATCAGGCAGGCAGCTGGTCTGCGCAAGGAGCTGTTTTTTAAACTGGCTCCCCTCATGGACCGACTCCCACCTGCCACCATGTGCTGCTGCCTCTGATGGAGGGGCAGCAGTGCGGGGTGGCAGGGGGCTCCCTGGGAGTAAGGCTGGAAGCTTACTGGCTGCCGGCCCTGCCCCTGGGGACTATCAAATAGTCATGTAACTCATAATATTGTGTGTGGCTGCTTTAACTGTAACTGTCTTTCTAATGCCTGGTACACTTGAAATACAACTCAACACCGTTGTAAATAATTATGTTAACTCACATCATACTGAACATTCAACCCACTCCAGTCTATTCTAACTACTAAAAAGCATTCATCATGTCAGGTTCACAGCAGTAGACAGACACAGTAAAATATTTGTAGCGTAGAATAGGCCTAAATGGCTGAAACTATTTACTGGTTAATAAACTGCTAAACAATATTATCCTTCCTCTTCCAAGCAGACTGTGTTTTTCACTTTTAAATCATCCCTGCACAGTCAAGTCATTTTCATTGTCTTAATGTTACCTCTTCCTAGTTCCAAACCATTGTCCAATTGCTCCTAAAAAGCAGCTATCTTCAGGCAGCCACTGCCTGACACTTTCCGGACTAAGAGCACATCCACACACCAATGAAACCCCTGCAGCAGACCTGAGTCAGCTGACTTGGCCTCCAGGCTGCGGGGCTGTATTACTGCCATGTACACGTTCAGATTTGGGCTAGAGCCCAGCATCTGGGACCCTTCATAGAATCATAGGACTGGAAGGGACCTCGAGAGGTCATCGAGTCCAGCCCCCCGCCCTCAAGCCAGGACCAAGCTCCACCTACACCATCCCTGACAGATGTCTATCTAACCTGTTCTTAAATATCTCCAGAGAGGGAGATTCCACCACCTCCCTTGGCAATTTATTCTAATATTTGACCACCCTGACAGTTAAGAATTTTTTCCTAATGTCCAATCTAAACCTCCCCTGCTGCACTTTAAGCCCATTACTCCTTGTCCTGTCCTCAGAAACCAAGAGGAACAAATTGTCTCCTTCCTCCTTGTGACACCCTTTTAGATATTTGAAAACCACTATCATGTCCCCCCTTAATCTTCTTTTTTCCAAACTAAACAAGCCCAGTTCATGAAGCCTGGCTTCATAGGTCATGTTCTCTAAACCTTTAATCATTCTTGTCGCTCTTCTCTGTACCCTTTCCAATTTCTCCACATCTTTCTTGAAATGTGGCGCCCAGAACTGGACACAGTACTCCAGCTGAGGCCTAACTAGTGCAGAGTAGAGCGGCAGAATGACTTCACGAGTTTTCCTTACAACACACCTGTTGATACAACCTAGAATCATATTTGCTTTTTTTGCAACAGCATCACACTATTGACTCATATTCAACTTGTGGTCCACTATGACCCCTAGATCCCTTTCCGCCATGCTCCTTCCTAGACAGTCGCTTCCCATCTTGTATGTATGGAACTGATTGTTCCTTCCTAAGTGGAGCACTTTGCATTTCTCTTTATTAAACCTCATCCTGTTTACCTCTGACCATTTCTCTAACTTGCTACGGTCATTTTGAATTATGTCCCTATCCTCCAAAGAAGTTGCAACCCCACCCAGTTTGGTATCATCTGCAAACTTAATAAGCGTACTCTCTATCCCAATATCTACATCATTGATGAAGATATTGAACAGTACGGGTCCCAAAACAGACCCTTGAGGAACTCCACTTGTTATCTCTTTCCAGCAGGATTTAGAACCGTTAACAACAACTCTCTGACTACGGTTATCCAGCCAATTATGCACCCACCTTATCGTGGCCCTATCGAAGTTATATTTGCCTAGTTTATCAATAAGAATATCATGCGAGACCGTATCAAATGCCTTACTAAAGTCTAGGTATATGACATCCACCGCTTCTCCCTTATCCACAAGGCTCGTTATCTTATCAAAGAAAGCTATCAGATTAGTTTGGCATGACTTGTTCTTCACAAACCCATGCTGGCTATTCCCTATCACTTTATTACCTTCCAAGTGTTTGCATATGACCTCTCTTAGGGTCCAGAATAGGGAGGTAAGCGAGTAGTTGAGTAAGGTGCCTCTGTATCAGAGGCAGTAAAGGGGAGGAAGGAACAGGAACCAGTGCTGGGGGGGAGCCATCTTAAAAGCTCATTCCCCCCAGCACCATCTCCATAGTGCAGCCTGCCCCTCCACCCCCACCTTCCCACAGCAGAGGGTAGGGGAGACAGTCGCAAAGCAGCCTCAGCTTGCCGAGGGCTGAGGCTTCTCTAGCAGCAGCCCCTGTCCACAGCCAGCCCCAGCCACTGTGAACAGGGGCTGCTGGACCTGGTGCAACCTGGGACTGAGCAGTCCCGGTTCGCGCCATTCTAGGACTTCTACAGCACTGCATTTTAAGAGCTACATTTAAAATAGGAAGAGCTATGTTTAAAATGCAGCGCCGCAGAGGTCCCGGACCCAGTGCAAGCTACCCCACACTGTGGCTCTACATTTTAAATGAAGGAAGAGGCGGGGGGCTCTTACCACATTTAAAATGCAGAGCTGCAATGGTCCTGGCTCTCTCCCAGCTTGCGCCACTCCAGAACCTACCCTGGCTGCGGCTCTCCAGTTTAAATGTAGTAGGATATAGGCTGCCTCCATACCCAGCTCTTACTATATTTAAGCTGCAGAGCTGCAGCAGGGGTAGCTCCTGGACTGGGGTGAGCTGAGACAGAGCACCTTCCCCTTATTGACTAATTGTGTAGTAGATACAAATTGTTAATTGACTACACAATTAGTTAATTATCCGTCTCTTAACAATCCTAGTCCAGAACTCAGGATCCAGTCCCAGTCCAAATTTCTACACAGCAATTTTACAGCACTGCAGCCTGAGTCAGAAGATCCAGGCCAGCCAGAGCCATTTCACTGCTGAATAGACATACCCAGAAGGCTGCTCCATAATATTATTGACTAGTTCCCATAAAGCTTAAAGAAAAATGCTGTAACCGCACCTTTCAGAAGCGCCTTCTAAACTACTATAGCAACCATTACCTCCATTTAACAAAGAAAATAAAACTGACGACCAGTAAAACAAAACAGCCCTTTATTTTTGGTATGCACTTAAAACACATCTTACATCAGTCGTGCAAAGATCACTTTTGTGATCTAGCAAATTTCTGAAAACAATTCTTCTATTTCATGGAGGGAGCTAGAGACTGGAAGGTAACTCAACCCCTACCCAATGTACTGAGGAGAAACAACTGGATGTAGACTGAGCACTGTCATAAGGAACTAGAAGATAGCATTAAAACACCACATCAATTCAGGAACAACACTAAATATACTGTAGTATTAGACAACCTCCCAATGTACATTAATTCCTCCACATAATATTTCTAGGAAAGAGAAAAGGTAATCTGCACCTAGGCCATTTCTGATTTTAAAATGCTCTGTTCATTCTTTTCGTAATCCTTGTTTTTGTTCCTCCCTTCTCAGACTATTTCAGCCTCAATGTTTGATTAGATTCCTTTAATTTGCCCTCAAGTCTTTAGTTCAAAAGTAGTGTGACTGAAGCAACGAGGATGTTTTTTAAATGCTAGAAAAGTCTGAACATATTATTTTAATGCATTGATCAATTCTTTCTCCCCCATACTATATTTATATTAGGTTAGACCAGAAAAACACTTAACTGTACCATGAAATATGTCCTCTAACCTGGGAGCATGCATTTATATTTTAAACCAGCTGACTCCAGTATGTATTAGATACTGAGGTAAGATAGTAAACTCATCTTCATTGAGCACTGTCCTCTTGGCACAAACATTGGCACCTAGTCATGCTCTTCTTAAGTACAGTTATGGAAACTTATACTGAACTATCCTATAATGCCCACCTATCAAGTCCTAACATCTACTGCACAAGATTACAGTCTGCATGCAGAACTGGTGTCCTTTTTGCATAACATTACAGATTAGATGTCAAGTCTGTTCTACCTTTATTATGCCACTGAACCATGTTGAAAGACTCTGAACAGAAGCATTTGTTCCACTTCTGACACGACTGAATTCCTCTAGCTTGGTTTGCTTCCATGCAAAAAACTGCAGAAACACCTCCTCAGTCTCATCTGCTTCACTAGCTGGACCATATACTGCCTCCAGAGAACCAGACAGCTCCTGTACAACATAAGGGAAAAAATAGCAGGTATGCAATCAGAAAGGAACTTGATGGATGTCCTATCAACAGTCAATTAAAGTCATTCTATATACAATCACAAATGAAAATTAAGCTCATATGCTGACTCACTACAGCACTTTTCACTTCTTAAAAAAAAAATCTAGACCCACATCCTATGCAAGTTGCATATTAGACTATTATTTACTAGTAAGTGTGTTATCTCAGCTTTCCCCTCTGAAATGGTTCTGCTCTGTCTCTCACCTGCCACAGGTAAGATGGCACAAAAAAATCTGTTAATCGTGGAAGAATCTACATACACTTCCTAACATATTTAACAATATCCAAAAGAAAAGATAGGACAGAAACACAAATCAGAAGGCGGGGGGGGGGGGGGGGGGGGGGGGGAAA